CCGTACCTTGGTTTCTGTCGACTCGACCTCTGGCGGTTAGTTATATGGAGCCACCTGCATACTCAAGCGGACAAGCATTAGCACCAAGTCGCATTCACACTTGGAATCTCAGGTATCCCATGCTGGATTCTCCAATTGACCCCCAAGTGTCTGACACTTCGGACCAATTGCTTCTCGTTCATGCTCTTCCCTCCTAGTCATTATTCTCCGTCCCTTATTTTCCATTCTTCCTCTATGAATGATGGCAGCGCTTTTCTTCATCCTTATCCGCTTATTGCAGCCACTACAGCAACAGGCCCTGCCACAGCAGCAAATCCAGCAGCTTCAGCAGGTAAAATTCTGCTTCCTGGAGTGAGGACGGAAGAACTACGAGAGGAGGAGGAGGAGGAGGAGGAGGAGAAGGAACGGGAGGAGGAGAGGAGGAGGAGGAGGAGGAGGCACGGGAGGAGGAGGAGGTCAATGACGGATAGCAAACAGCAACTCCTACAGCATCACCATCAACAGCAGCTCAAACAACAGCTGCAGCAACTACAGAGGGTGGTGTGCTCCTCCCCTTCCCTTCCTGCCTGCTCTGTTTCGTCCTTTCCTCGCCTCTCCCTTCTCTCCTCTCTCCTACCATTTGTCTGCCTCCCAACGCTCCTGCTTTGTTCCATCCTGTCCTCCCTCCCCCTCCCCCTCCCCCCTGCTTTCACCATCCTTTTTCTTGCCTCGCCTTCTTCCTCTTCTCACCTCCGATTTCTCTTGTCCCTCCTGTGCTTGCTGTAAAGTCTGAATGTGTCCAGCAGGGAAATGCCGCGCAGAATCTTGTGCAGATGGTGGCGTCGAATGGAATGGTAAAAGCAGTCTACGCCTCCCTTTCCATCCTCCTTTCTCCCTCCTTCTCATCGCTTTCCCTTTTGCATCTTATCCTCCCCCTCCTCCTCTGTTTCCAGTTTTCCTCTTACTCTGTGCCACTGCTCCTGCGCATTCACCTCCGTCCCATCCTCTCTCCGCAGATCTTGTTCTCCTCATCCCTTCACTCCCCTCTCTCACTGCATCTCCTCCCTCCGCTCCTCTCCTCTCACACCCTGTGAAGGTTCTTCATCTGCCAGTAGCAGGAGGAGGGACCAGTGTCGGGGGCAATGCAGGAGGGTTCCAGTTGCAGGTACGGGGGGGGCAAGCGGTCACGATCAGCGTGGAGACGGGAGGGAGAAGAGAGACTAAGGAGGAGGAAGAGGGGGAAGATGTAGGGGAGGAGGGGGGGGGGGGGGGGGGGGGGGGGAAAAAAAAAAGACTAAGTCCATTTCCTGGGTGTGGGGAAAAAAAAAATTTATGCAAAAAAACTTATTTTTTTAAGATCG